CAACACCTGCATACAGATGTCTATAGCAGTTTTATGAGTAATTGCCAAAACTTAGACGCAACCAAGATGTCTTTCAGCAATTGAATGGATAAACAAACTCAGACCAACACCCTAAAGTCTACTCCTTGTCTTCCTGCAAGGTATTCGGGAAACTTCTCCGGTATCCCAGAGGCCTTTGTGGGGAGCGTTGTGGTGTGCGTGTGTGTGCTGGGAGAGGTGGGGTTGGGGTTGGGTGGCCAGAGGCTGGGGACAAGCACAAGGATGGTCACCTGTGAACCTAGGACCCTAGTGGTTCCTTCTGCTCCACACTGGGGTGCCTGTGTGTGTGTGTGTATGTGTGTGTGTGTGTGTGTGTGTGTGTGTGTGTGTGTCTGTTTCTATTCAGATCCCAGGGTAACCGAAGCCTGGCAGCTGGGGGAAGTGGCTGCACAGCCCATCTTGCTCACAGCCCTCCTGGTCAGGGAAAGCCACCACAGGACACTCAGCCCCACTTGGGGTAAATGCCCCCCGCCCTTGAAGCAGGTTTCCTGACAGGATGGAATCTTGGAATCTTTCACCTTTTTTCCACTGACCAGACTGGCTGCCAGTGGACTTGGCCAGTTCTTGACGTCTTTGGCCACCATGGCATGCCCCTGGCAGTGACCAGACGTTCTGGGGCCCAGACCTCTTGCTGCGGGTCAAGATCCCAGGGCAGGCCCAGCCCGGCCACCGTCCTGGCCCCTGCGGCGTGTGTCCACGCGTGCTGCCCCCCACCGCTCACCAAAGAGGAGTCTGTACCCAAGGCCATGGGGCGGAGGGAGCGGGAAGGACCAAGCGTTCCCCTCCACGCTTGCTCCTCCGCTGGGATCTGCGGGTCACCCACAGGTTTCTGGGCGCCGGCACCGAGCCTGGGGCGGCTCTGCCCGGACACCATCATCCCAGAGGGCTCTTTCCATCACGCTAACAATAGGAAGTGGGGAGGGGACTGGGCACCAACGCCCCCTTAGCCTGCGGGGGACCACGGCAGCACTGCACGGGACCTTCCTAGGGACGATGGTGATGCCACCACGATGTGTCAGCAAGAGCAGGCGCAGGAGGCCAACTCCGGGCCTGGTGGCAGAGCTTACAGTGCGTGGCACGTGTCGCCGCAGCAGAGGCCCGTCGTGCATGGGGAAGGGTGGGAGCCGGCCCCACACTTCCGGGTGGGTGGAGGTCCTCAAGCCCCCGTGCTGCCAGCGCTGACAGGGACTCCACGCCCAGCCCAGAGCCCAGGCCCGGCCGTCAGAAGCACCAGGGGACCCTCCACGTCCTGCCTCCTGAGGCGCACCGGGACCAGCGCCTGCAGCCCGGGAGTCACACTCTTCCACTGCCCTGCTCTTGATGCCCACTGGGTTTCCACCTAACTGGTAGGATCCAAGCGACAAGAGACAGGTCCTAGCAGAGGCCCTTGCTGTGAAGTATTTTCCTACGAAAAAGAAAAAAGTGATTAATCAGGCTTACGTTAATGCTAAAACATGAGCTGCAGGAGAATGAGAACTGGAAGAATCACAAGACCTGGGCCACAGGGCAGATTTAAACTCCGAGGAATCTCACACTCACGCATCGCCCTGGCTGCTCTGGTGGGTTAATCGGAGCAGGGAGCGCCCCAGTCCCAGTGACGCTGCAGCCCACATGTGAACAGTGCAGAGTGACCGCCCAGGGAGCCTTTCGCTCCACTAACTTCACTCAGAGCACTCTAAGGGGATTTCACAATGAACTTGCACATTTCAAAACGGAATGTCATACCTCAGACCTCTCCCTTCCCTCCCCAATATGGAAGTGGGTGTGCCTTTTCTTTCTATTTTTGCAAGTAAAGTCTGCTCTCTCCAGTATTCCCAGGTTTCTAGTTAAACCTGAGGGTGAGCCCGTAAAGACGGCAGCAGCCAGTAGTCACACGATGTTGGGCAGTATTCCTTGCTGATGAAAATGAAAATGTTGGCGTGCACGCCCAGCCAGGTACTGCCACCACATTCTTCCTTGCTCAGACTGCCCCTCAGGCAGAGGCACATGCCTGTAGTAGTGCAGCTGTTTGTAAATGTCCGGGCGGTTTCCTGAAGCAAGCCTGCCGAACTTGGGCCCAGCCCAGCCCCAGTGAGAAGTGCCTTCTGAGGTCCTGGGTGCAGCCTCGGAGCAGGGGCCGGCCCACACTGGTCCCCCCATACTCCTCCACGTGGGCCTGGCCAGGGCTGGGCCACACCGGAGGAAACCCAGCTCAGCTTGTGGAGCTTGCACTTGGGCCTGGAGGAGAGATAAGCAGCTTATGATGCGGATAAACCGCAGTCAGACTGCAGGCTGCAGCCACATGGGCTGTGCAGATGTGCCGTGTGACTCTGCTGGGAGTGGGCAGGGAGAGGCAGAAGGCACAGCTGGGCTGGCCCCTGAGCAAGTCCTGGAGGGTAGGGAGGGCCCCCTCCCTCTTGGGGGCAAGGTTGGGGACTGTCCATGTGGAGAAAACTAGAGGTTTTGTCGGGACTCTAAGGGTGAACACTGTCAGACACCATGCGAAGTTCTTGGAAATCTAAGCAGAAGGTAGCGTCACACACATTATAAACACACATCCACTATCACTTTTATCCATAGAAAAACAAACATGACGCCTGCCACCACATAATTAATCCACAATTCAAAATGTTGGTGGACTGTCCAAGTGTGACGGAAGAGTCCAGGCCTAGCACAGAAGGGCCTGTGTTTCCTACAGTTTCCTATTTAGTAGGTTCTGCTGCACCAATTTTGATCTGCCAAAGTGAACTATAACTTTAGGCTTTAGAAGTTGGATGAGTAAAAGGTTAAACTGAAGAGGGCATGTAACTGTCCATCCTCTGGGTAAAAAAAAGCCGTTACTATGAAAATCAAAGCCCCTCCTTGTTTGTTTGTTTTTAGAATGGGAGTAAAGTGTTATAAGAGAAGAAAATAGATAATCCTTAGTATTCTTGAAGTTAAAATAAAAAGGTGTCTCAGGCAATTGCTTCTGATAGCACAAAGAGAGCAGAGACAGCCAGCGCAGCGGTGTGGCTGTCCCGCACGGCGTCCCTGGGCCGCACCTCTGCGGTGGCTTTGTGTGTCCTCTCTGGAGCAGTAGTTTTGGTCTGAGGACCCTTTTATACTCTTTAAAGCTCTCCAGGATCCTCACTAATTTTTATCTGGGTTATATATATCCTATCGTGTTGGAAATTAAAACTGGAAAAATTTTAAATATTTGATACATTTATAATAAAAACCTATTACTTGTTAACATGGAAACTATTTTGAAAAATTACTTTCCAAAACAAAATAATGTAGTGAGAGGAATGGCACTGATGTTTGCCTTAGTCTCTTTACACCTGGCTTTAACAGAAGACAGCTGGATTCTCCCTCCTGCTTCTGTAGTCCCAGATCGCCCTGTGTTTTGGTGGAAGGATAGGAAGAAAATCTGGCCTTATAAAGATACATAGTTGGAGGGAGAACCTCATGGATGACCTGAAAGGGCCTCAGGGACCCCAGGGGTCCTCAGACAAGACTTTGAGAACCACTGTTCTGCAGGCAGAATACATTGGCCAGCCCACTGATTCTGGGCATGGCCACATGGCTGGCTTTGGCCAGTGGAATGTGGGTGGAGGGGACAGTGCAGTTCTGAGACCTCTTGCACCTGTGTCATCACTGTGCTGAGTAGGCCCGGGTCCAGGAGAGGCACGTGAAGCATGGCCCTACCCAGCCCACAGTCCAGGGGCATCAGCCAGGGTCAGCCAAGCCAGGGGCGAGTGAGACGCAAAGGCTGCTTCTTGGACGCCACTGACTTTGGGGCGATTCTGCCATGCGGCAAAAGCTGACTGACAACAAAAGGGATGGCAATTAAAAAAAAAACCACATAGCTTACAGAAATTTTGAGCCAAGCTGAAAATAGGACTAATCCTGGCATTCACCAGTTCAGTCATGGATAAGCTCCCAGGAAAAGTCTTTTCCTCTTTGGATCTTCTATGCTGGTGCTAAATATTCTTTCCCTGTTGGGAGGCCGAGGAGGGGGGATCATTTGAGGCCAGGAGTTTGAGACCATCCTGGGCAATAGCAAGACTATGTCTCTATAAAAATAAAAACGTTAGCCGGGCATGGTAGCACACGCCTATAGTCCCAGTGACTTGGGAGGCTGAGGCAGGAGGATCATTTGAGCCCAGGAGTTTGAGGTTGCAGTGAGTTGTGATGACACCACTGCACTCCAGCCCAGGTGACAGAGCGAGACCCTGTCTCTAAAAAAAAAAAAAAAATTCTGTCCCTGAATAAAGAAACTGTCTCTAAACATGAAAGTATGTGTGAAACACACATACTATTGCTTTGATCTGGTACCATTCACCTCAAGTTCTCATGCACTAGACCCATCAGCCGATTTTCCTACCCTGTTCTCAGTCCTTCCCTTTGCAGAGTGCTTGCCACACACAAGCAGCTCAAATCCTACCCCTTGGCTGTCTGGACACAGACACCCCTGACCCCAGGCCAGTGGGACAGGAACTAAGACTGTGCAGACAGACAGGGCTGGCGTGGGACTCGGAGTGAACCCTGAGGGTTCCTGGGCCCCTTGGCCTAACACCAGCTGTTCCCCTTGGAGCCTTCCATTCTCCTAATGATCACTTCTGGTTTTTGTAACCAAAAAAGTCTAAACTAGACTGGAATGGCTTGACTACCAATGTGTCAAATATCAATTTATTTTTTGGTTGTACATATCCACCAGTGCTAGTCTAGCTGGTTAAGAAAAGCTCAGCCTACAATTTTGTGACAGATGTTTTATTATAGGGCATTAAAATTTAGGCATATACATGACACAAACATTATATATAGTACACTTTCCATGGTAGGAGTTACGATACTGCTCACAGAAAGGCCTCAATTCAAACTACATAATGCATATGCTAAAATAGTACACCTGGGGACAAGAGGGAGAACCAGATGGCCTTTTTGTTTTTTGTTTTGGTTTAAATAACCTCTGGATGCATTCAACTAATACTGATCATTTAATGTTCAAAAAGCTTTTAATAAACAAATTCAGAGTAAAATTAATTGAAATATTTATAATACGATTTAATTGTTACACAGTATGTCCAATATACAATCAAAAAATTCACGACACTTGAGGAAAAAAGAAAAAAAATCTATTGCACCCACAAGTAAAAAGGCTTTATTCATTTTTGGGATGCTGCAATTCAGTATTTATATAAACATTTACACACTTTAGTAAACACAGAGTCCTACATGTAATGCAGCATTACGGGTGAGAAGACCCCTTTAAGTCTCAAAAGTAAATGCCAAGTGTCCACATAGAGTTCCACGTGCCCAGGCTAATTTCCCCATCATTATTCTCTTCATTATTCCAGTCACGAGCAGTCAGTCTCTCCACCTCCCTCCCGCACATTCTGAAGACTGACGTTTCTCACCAGACATCTCGGACATTCTGCAATCTCAACAGCAGCACTCTGCCTCCTTGCTCGGTCTCTTGCTGAGTCTCCATCTTAGTGTCCTGTTAAATAATCCTGCGTAGAGTCTGAAGCAAACGAATCCACGTCCTCATTATCCGAGTCATCGCTGCTGTCATCGGCAGCTGGCTCTCCCGTAAGGGCTATGCGAGCATAATCGTCTGTGTCTATGGATTTGCAAAAGTGGATGGCGTATTTCAACTTCTCCTCCAGCACCTGTTTACAGGAATACCTGGGCAACTTCAGCAAAAAGAAACAGGTGTAGGATTCAGGAAGGAAGTGGTCAGGAGGGTTATATTTATCCAACACCTGTTGATGAAAAATATTAAATTATCAGAGACTATGTACAAGGATAGCTAAAACTGCAAATCTATTTTATTGTGTTCATTAGACTCTTAACTCACAAAAATCATATTTTTTGCTAATAATAATATCAGAAAACATAATCTAGCCAATTTAAAAATAAAAAAGAACTTATTCCTAGAACTTGTAGTAAAAAAATAGCAGTCAGTTATCATGATAATTACTTTGTCCTAATCACCCCATGAAGAGGGCCCGATGGCTCCACCCTCCCCTGTCCACACAGGTGAGCCCCCAGCCTGGCAGGTACGGGACCTGGGAGGGGCAGGGCAGTGGGCTCAGGCCTGGCACTAGACCACACAGGGAAATTCTTCTTTGGCCACTACAACTTAAAATACTAGGAATTAGCAAGAGTTATGGACAAACCTACCTTTTTAAGGGAAAAATTACATATGCTCTCACAAGATCTCCCTGAAAAACAGATACCTTTCTAACCTTGGCCAGAGATGCTGTGTCAGGCTGTGCTTGGAAAGGAGCCATCTAGGGAGAGTGGTCCATCCACCCACTCCACCTGGTCCATCCCCCCAGCATACTGCCACCAGGGTCTCAGGAGAGAAAGGGTCATTCCACCTCAGTGCCAGGCAGGTAAATCAAGCTTGTTTCTGACCAGGGAACCAGAGTTAGAACCCAAAGCAAAACTCTTATTCTTGATCTGATGAGTGGTCTGATTTTTCTCTGTATGTAGCATATTACTTAGTGATTCACCTAGATTCAACCAGAGAATGAAACAAATACCTTACATAATGTGTGTTTCAATAAC